TGGTTGGCATTAAGAACCCAAAGGTACAGAAATAAATCAGTTTGAAAAGATTGCCAAAAATATGCAGCTAATTTATTGTTTTTTGATTTTTATTTGTACAGACCATCCAGCCCACCAAAATCCCCCAACCGGTGCAAGCTTTTTCTTTAGAGAAAGCAGGACTCAATAACCCAAAGGTAATTAAAATGCTTTAAATCAAGTTCTCGTGTGCTAGTAACTCTGTTTGTAAAAGATTATGGTGACAATAAACCAACCACCCTTTGTTCCCTCCATGGCTCTGATGTTGCTTAGATACATGCATACATTTGTCTGCCTCCCCCCTTTTTTCCCAAATCATGGACCCTTTCCCTATAGACCTATTCAGCTAACTCAATGTTGTACCCAATTCAAATCTCCTGGAGATAAGATTCTTTGTGTATTGTGTTTGCATTATAATGTGGCATTTACATTTAAATGATACGTATTAAAATTCCGGAAACAAAACGTTTTATTCTCAGAGGGTTTGAATTGGGTACAACGTTGAGTTAGCTGAATAGGTCTATTTACAGCAGCCCTGGCTACCTCTAAATAATGATCAGTCCCTTACTGCAAGCTGCTTTTGTAATTATTTTTCTTTCCTTTCTTTCTTGCGATAAAAAGAAAATGTATGTATACTGGCAATTACGTACATCTTCTCAAAAATTGTACCATTTTACAGCTTCTCCCTGCCCATTGCATGTGAATTCTATAATATGATATGCTATAGACGTGTATGGCAGTTAGAGATGCACCTTCTTAATTTTTGCACCAGGCACTGAGATCTTTTGGGTCTGTGTCATAATAAACTCATTGAAAAAACACAGACCACAATGTTACACATACATTAGTGCTCTTTGTACAGATAAGCAGAAAATGTGTGACCCCATTCTAGTAAATCTATTGAAAATGCGAGCCCATTATAGTCAATCCAGTCGTGAAAATGCGACCCCATCCAGTAGCACATCCCCATTAGCCTTGTATACGGAAGTACCTCCCCCGGGGTTCTTTTAGGATATTTTTCTTTAATTTGATGATGACTATCATTTTAAATTGTTTTTTAAATATTATTTCAGACATGAGGACGTTTAGAAAAGCAAGGGGTGTGCTTGTCACACACCTCTATGATCAATCTACTGGATCTCATGGGAGGACACTTTCATGACAAAATTGTTGAACTGGTCAAAGCTGGAAAGAAATTCTACCCAGTGTTAATGACAATTTTAACTACAAAACAACAGTGAAGAACATCAGGGTAGATCAAAGGAACAAGCAGCACAACTGGTTTGCAAGCATTGTTGTTTTTGAGAGGATTGATTTCAGCCACTTGGACAATGTAAGGCCACTTAGTGACATTCAGAATTTTTCTAATGAGAATTACCTCATTACCTCAGAGGAAATCAAGAAGAAAATCTTGTTAGGATTCTTCAAACAACCTCAATTTGCAGCAGCTAAGAAGCTCACCACAGCACATTCTGCACAGTTACACCAACGAAATGACTTCGAAGTCAGAAGTGTTTCCACTGCCAATTCAATTCAAAGATGAAAAAAAAAAATGCTGATGTGGTAGACATCTGCCACATTTGAAACAGTATTTAAAGCAGCTACAGATAATGAAGGTCCTGAACAAGAAACCTACATCGCAGCTGACTTTAACTGTCCATCTGGTGGTGATCAGTTGACAAGAGTGCATTTTACGCATGGGTGTAAACTAAGGGCTGGAGCTCACACTTCAAAGGACCGACTGGAACATTCTCAGCCTGATGTTATAGAGCTCTTTCATACAAAGCAAGCATTCTTAACTGTAAGTACAGCTATGCAACATATGTAATATATATGGTGACTGCAAGAGTTACATACTATTATTTGGATTTTCATACTTAATCTAGTCCTTTTCTGTTCAACAACTGTTGAGCATAAAAGTACAAACTGGATTTATTAAATCTGGCTGCCTATGACACACTTGATCAGAAAAGATAGTTGAATTCTTTAAGTTTCCTAATACTATATCTATATTGTAATGATAGTAATAATCATCTCTTCTTCATATAAATATATAAAACAAAGCAGAGTTTAATCAAAAGCTCTTTTATACAAAACAGTTCTTAACACATTGAATAAAAAGGCTGAGGGACATTTCATAGCCCACTTTTCAATTGTCGAGTTTGGATTCTACTTGGCAAAATAAAATACATAATTCAAATAACAATAATTATTATTGTTTTGTATTTATTTTCAGCTCATTAATGATGTCCTGATGAACCAGAATTCCACACGTGAAATTGGTACACTGAAGTATTTTAGAGAGCGTATTATGCACTACAATGTTCCAACAACTGTCAAAAACAACCCTGATGCATATGAGGAGTTCTTTGTGTCAGTTGGAAGGGCTTACTTAGTGGAAGCTTTCTGGATTCTTTAGTATGGAAAACACTGAAAGTGAGCCTACAAAAAATTTGCCTGAACAAAATGCAAGCTTGGAGGCAAAGAAGGAACACTTTGATAATGTGCTTGGGAAGTTTGTTGACTACCATGTTTTCCACTTGGGTGTGACAGTCGATGACAAAGTCCAGAATTATGGTCTCTCTTTGATTGAACTGTTCATAGTTCTTATGCAACTGAATGACACAATTCATGAAGGTGATGGAGATAGAAATGTTAGGAGAGTCGACCCCCATGCCAAATGCCACAGTAGCAAATATTACTCTCTGTTTGCATGACTCTGAAACAATGCTGCTAATAAGTTCATGTTTCATTTTGTCTGTCTGTGGCGAGTGAAATTGAGCAAAAAGCCTGTTAAGAGGAATTTGGGGAGCCCCAATAGGGTAGAACTGGTGATCCCCAAGCTTTCTCTCCACAAAGGCATACCCAACTCCACACATGTCTAATGATGAGTAAATAATAGTGACAGGCATTTTAATATTGGCAATAATGAGTTCATCTGCTATGGGTGAAAGAATTTCTTCAAACTGGTTAATGTTACTTTGTTTAAGATAGGATGGCCTTTGCTGTACTTCATAAAAAATGCTAGGCCTGTCAGGATTTGTACAAGTTTGGGATCTTTCATGTTCAGACTTTTCATAATGGTTGTTTGATATTCCTTTGTTGCTGTTGCTGTCATGGCAACAATCTTAGCCGTGGGGAATACCGAGGAAAGTGTTCCTAGTTTTCTGTAGTCTTCTCTGAAGTTGTGCCCCCTAAACAATGAAACACAAAGTAAAAATGTTGTAGTGATACACTGAAATGCTGTTATACTTGCCACTAGAATAAGAGAATTTGGCCACAAGAATTACCGATAATGACTACATGAAAGGGGACTTTCAAGTAACTAAGCCGTTATAGTAGGGTCGAATTAAGAAGAAAAAGGCTGCAATAACTTTGTTATTAGTAACAATATGGCCATGTAGTTATATTAGCTTTTCACCCTTTAAGCCCCAGTGATGAAATTTCCCTTAACTGCTCTTAGGTGTACATTTTTCCTAGTAGCACTATACAGAGGTTGCTGAAATATCAAGAAGCTTAGCCACTGGTAATTAATCTCTTGGCCTCTGCTTGATTGGAGGTCATTATTGGGGCTTAAAGGTTCAAGGTTCACTTTTCTGTTATTATTATGTGATGTAACTGAAAATATTTTGTTTAACCTGCTTAACATTAATAAAATAATATTTATCACATAACATTCATGCAAATATTAATGCAAGCTGCTCAAGGTCAGCAAAATGGCACCATCCAGGAATTTAGCATCTCTAAGAGTGACATTTTTTAAAGTTTTGGACAACAAATTATTTTAGAATTCCCAGTTGTATTGTTTTGAACATAATTTTTACTTTAATTTCCCACCAGCTTTCTGTGATGGACTTGGGTCATTAATTTACGGTTAGATTATACTGTGTTTCAAACATTCACTGTAGCTGTTAAACAACGTGGTGATGGAATACTTAGGGAAGTTAGAGATTCATACTAGTGTGAAAGGAGGACACACAGTTGCACTAAAAATGAATGACATTCAATTTGAACTGGCCACAGATATGCACTGGAAAACAAATGGTGAAGATAAGTATCGAGTTGCTACTTAAATGAACCCAAACAGTCATTTGTACCTTGTAAAGACTTCTTTTGCTTGTGTGCTTTGTTGCCTTAATATAAGTCATTTGATCATACTTGGAGAACAGAACTGTTTCTTTCAAATTTTAAAGATGTGCATTAAATTTGAGAAAACATATCACATGATACCTCTTGAGAGCATCAAAATTTTACACATTTAGAAAACAAAGTCTACAAGCATAACAGGTCTATGACTATTAGTTTTTTGGTGATCTGATCAAGGCACCCATCAAAAGCAATTGAAATACCAAGATAGCTGCTTTTGGACATAATAAAACCTTTTCATTTAGTTGATCTAGCATGTACATTGCATAAGGCAATAAATATCATTACCGCAATGATAAGAATAGAAACAGCTCATTGTGTCCTTGCAAAGTAAATACACATAGTAAACTTTGAGTTTCATTGTATAGTTCAAATTTTGGAGTCTGGATCCCGGTGTGAGAACATTGAACTTATAACCTTTGTGAATCTTCATAAAGCAGCAACTAAGGATGACTGACTACAAAACTAACTTTATGTTAAATCCTTTCAGGTGTGAGGTGACAAAAGTGATCATGTAACCCAAAATTTGAGTCTAGGAAACAGGAACTTAACAATAGGTGTAGGGGCCATTTTTAGCCCTAACATAAGAAAGCTTATAACCCTAAAAGTATTAACAAAATGATCAAACAGAGAAAAACAACAACAAAAAGTAATGATAATCATAATTTACCACTCAATGATGCAATGTGCTTCATCAACCACCACAGCCCTAACATTTTTCTGGTAGTAAGCCGACAAAAATAGGTCTCTACATTGCCTGTTGCTTACTGCTACCTCGGGGTGTGTAAAAATTAATTCAAACTTTCCAGCTTGAAGGTCTTCAAGAATTTTCTCTTCAAATGCGCCATCGACCTCGTCACCACAAACACGCAAACTTGTACAATTGACACCAGCTGATTTAAGTTTATTTATTTGGTCATCAATTAAGGCATTCAAAGGAGAAACAACAATGACAATTGACTTGTCCTTCGATGAAAGGTTCCTAGCACTAATTTTATGAAACAGTGATGGTAGCATTTGGTAGATCAACGACTTTCCGTAGCCAGTTGGAAGAACAATTAAACAATCCTGACCTTTAAAAACAATCGACTGTAGAGCTTCTTTTTGTCTAGGCTTCAGTATAAGATTTCCTTGACCGCTACTTCCAAGAACATCTTCAAGAACACTGTCCAAATCCATGTTTTCCTTATGTTTTCCAAACAGTAAGCACGAACATGCGCAGTTATAGCAAGGCCCGTATATCGGGCCTCGCTTCTACTGAGCATGATCGAAATCGAACTTTACCAGATCTCCCTTTCCCTTGGCCGTGGGAGATCTGGGTACGAGATTACAACTGAACCACAAGCTGTACACAGGGGTACACAGAATGAAGCCCAGAACGCGCGGGAGACTTTGATCTGACTGGAAAAAGAGACCGGAAATGCTCAACCTGGCGCATGCGTAGACGTTTTGCCGCAGTGTTGGTTGAAGTTGCCGTCGCCCCGAAAACGTCTCCATCTTAAGTTCCCTAATAAAAGGACAAGGGAGGAATCCTTGTTTTGAAATGAAGGGCTCCAGCGCCGGAGCGACTTTTTCCCAGAAAATCGCATCGCTCCGCTTTCAAACTTCGCGGCAAAAAGGTCCCGGAAAAGGTCGAAAGATTCACGCTTCTTCTCGTACCTTCCGATCGAAAATCCATCTAAAATGCCAGGAGCTAGCCTCGAAGAAAATTACAAGATTCATACGTGCCAGTAACCAAATGGTTAAATAATAACCGATTTAAAGAAGACTGTGTAAGCGTTTATTTTTTAACGAGGCAATCAGCGGGATGGTTTCTGACTGGCACGTATGAATCTTGGTGCGCACTTTGACCGTTCAAAAACTGTGGGATTTTGATTTTCTTGGAGGGTTAGCTCCGGGCATTTTAGATGGGTTTTCCATCGGAAGGTACGAGAAGAAGAGTGAATCTTTCCAACTTTCATGCTGCAAATTCATATTTGCCAATTACAGCTTTGATCCCAACCAACCCAAGAGATTGCCAGTGAAAACTACACATTTCCTAGGCCTTACTGCACTCAAAACGTTATGGGCTCCTTTAAGCCTTAATTGTATCATCAAGAGAGAATGAGATACCTCATTTCTTCTTGAATAAAATTTTGTAGGCCAGTTCAATTACCGGTACTATTTATGAAAAAAGATACTTTTTACGACGAAGTCTTCCAAATAATAACCCAAACCCCATACAGAGTAGGTGACCAATGCAAACCCAACGAGCTCATCACTTTTAATAAATACATAAATTCAATATTATATTTCCCTTTATAACGGACCCCTATTTAACGGACACCTCTTCTAAGCGGACGCGGACACTGAAATAAATTGTATTTGCCTAATTTTTATCGTTAAAAATACGCACCGTAGTCGATTAATAAAGATAAATCAATACTTTAATTTAGCTGTCAATAAACTGTAGATTAGACCGATATCCCGAGGTATGGTTGTCACCCGCGATCAAAGTTCACCTAAAAGTCTTGCACAAAGAACAGCACAGACGCTGGGCTACACCCTCTTGTTTAGCAGACACTTGGGAAGGTCCCGAGGGTGTCCGCTTAATAGAGGTTTCGTTATAATTCATCAAAAACTTTCTCGGGTCTTGTCGTGTAATCGTCTACTGTACAAATCCTCGGTGTTCTGTTTCAAACCATCCTTTTCATAGTGAGACATATTTCGCGAGAGTTGTTGAGGTTAATAATGTCGAAGGGAAGGGGGGGAGGGTGCACTCCCTTATTTGGCCCAGACCGGTACGTGACGCTGGGCAAGGTATGGTTTCTAGGGACTTGTGGCGTCTTTAACAGGGGGAGTTTTTACATGGAAGTATTTAATTTAAGAGTGTGAACGCTACAGATGAGAGGCCTGCCTGCAATTGTGGCACCAACATTTTTTTCCAAAAAAATTAGTTCCAGTATATTAGTTTTAAAAATTGCCTTATTCTACATGCATAACGAAACGAATCAGGGTCATAAAAAAGTCTCTTGTCTTGTCTTTCTTTCAACCCTCCCCTCACCCGGGTTATCGTATTCCGCCCTTATAAGTGTTTCTTTTCCTTGCTTTTTTTTCTTGCTTCCCTTCCCTTGTCCCTTGTCCTGCGCGAAGACGAAACTAAACTCTGATTAGTACCGAATTAACCTTTCCTTTTTGCGGTGGAATCTCATTAACTTGCGTTACCTGGAGTACATTAACGTTGATGACGTCATAGCCTTTTGTCCTTATCTCATAAATAAAATGAGGATGAATCTTATTAATTTGCGGTGTGTGGAGTACATTAACGTCGATCGATAACGTCATAGCCTTTTGTCTTTATCTCATGAATGAAATGCGGAGGAATCATTATTATCTCCCATATTAATACAATAGAAACAATAGCTTCACGTAGCCCAGACAGGTTTTAGCTATTTTTAGGCAGATGATGTCATGGTTTCATTAAAATTTAGTTGCGTCATATCCTTATCTGGCATTATGTTATTGTTTATTTGTATGGGTGGTATCCTTATTTAGGTATGATACTGGGCAAGCTTTGTTTTTATGGTGGACATCTCTGAAGAAACAATTTGGTTGGTTGTCGGTATATTTTTCTATAGTTCTTTAAAACATTAAACTCACCAGTATTAAATATAAATCTGATTTAAAAATCACTGCAAGTCTCAGTTCCGGTTTATTTTCTTTGGTGGGTAGGAGAGCTTTAGGTGATTAAAATAAAAATTTCCTATTCGGTATTTTTAGCCACAATTATTTCTATTTATATTTCTAATTCAGGGAGAGCAACTCCTCTTGGTTTGCTGCTATCTCAGCGACCAGTAGACCATTGTTTTCAGGGGTGTTGAAGTTACTTTCTCCTGATTGGGAATCTCATTTTATCAACCTTACTTTTGGTGAAAGCCATTCTCCCAATAGGTACTCTTGATTTTCTTGTATAAGAGCTCCTCTGGTAAACCGAATGATATTTAAGGGAGCCCTAAAGGACACTACCATCAATTTTGCTTCACAACTTGAGGCTACTTGTCCGAGAGTAACAGAGAACTCGGCTGATATAAATGGGATTCCCAATCAGGAGGGACCGCGAGTTGACTTTGCATGGATGGATGTTTTATTTTCCAGTAGGAGCTTGTTTGGCAAATATAGTTATTGCTATTGACTGCTTTGTTATGAGTATATTGTAATTATTTATTTAGGATGAGGATATGGGAAGAGAGCGCGTTGTTAGATATAGGTTTTCGGATAAGCGCCATTTTCTTGTAATAATTAAATGGCATAAAACCCTAAGAAGTGTGCCTCTGTCACTTGAGTTAACGCAGGTCTTGGGGAAAGCAAGAGCAATTCCCCATACCTTATTTACATTTCATTAATAACAATACCCAGGGCAGAATATTATACTACTGTTTCTTCGGTCCTGCTTACAAGGAGGGAGGGTACCAGTCACAAAAAGCTGAATGGTCAGGTAGCATCATGTTTCAGTTATGTGATCGAGACAGAGGAGAAAACCGTTTTGCAGTAGCCAATCAATATTGAAGTAAATAGTTTTCAGCTCCACTCTGTGTCTAACAGCTTACAGTTAATTATAAAAGGAATGATTGAAGTAAAGCTTTCAGTTTCGGTTCAACTGTATATATATCTTTATTTTGCTTAAAACGGATTTTTAGCGCTTGATAAAACACAAACTTCGCTTGCAATTAAAGGTTTTTCGGGTTGAAAGCGAGGTTTTTATTAAGTGCAAAATGGACGCCTTCTTCGTGAGCGCAAAGACTTGCAAGCGTGAACTTCGCGAGTGTGTCTGAGAGAAAAAATAACACTGAAAATTGCCCTTTCAGCCCAAATGGCCCGACAGGCCTTAGAAAATTCAAGAGTAAACTTTTTGTTGCAAATCAGTTCATTCAGAAAGATAGCTCTTTCGAAATTTCAGGCACCGAACTAGGCTCTTAGGGCCTGTTTACATCGAGGTGGGGGACACCAGGTAGGTGAGGTAACCCGTTTAGGTGGGTAACCCGCCTGTCCTTATAATCTCGATCTTATTTTAATTTGATCACTTATTTACAGGCATATGATAGGTGGGGTGACCCGCCGCAGGTTACCTCACCTATCTGGGGTCCCCATGTAAACAGGCCCTTACTAGGCACTTGTTAGGCCAAACCAGGGTTAATTTTGCTAAATGTATACCTCTTACGTGAAAAACTGTTCACATATAGGACACTTTCCACTTCTTTATTGTGAATTGTAACACACTATCCAGCAACAGCCTCTTGTACACGGGTTAACCTTACGACCTGCTGCACAAGTTCCAACAGCTGCCAGGCTGATCTGCAATGTTCATGTTAGACGCTTCGATCACATCACTCCCGCCTAATTAGCCTCCACCGGCTGCCAGTCAGTTACAGAATTCAATTTAAAATTTTACTTTTTACCTATAAGGCCTTAAATGGATTGGCTCCTGTATATATTATAGAACTATTAAAACTTAAAACTATTCCTCGATACAATCTAAAGTCTTTTAATGACAAACTATTACTTCAGCATCCCAAAATAAGAACTGTCGCTACTCTTGGTGACCGTTCACGTATCAAGAAATGGTCCATTGTACCGACCTGAATTTGCCCATTAAACTTAAAACGATAGTACTTTTGTTCCAAGTGTCACCTTTCCAGACCAACCCGAAGCTTATTTGAATAATCAGAAACCTTCCGCTTTACAAACTTGTGTACCACGGGGGGTGGGGAGTGCTAATTGATCTGTGAAGAATGAAATTCCACTAGGGTACCGACGGAAATAGTCAAAGGAGCTGTAGAGAGCTATTCTTCTAGAAGAAGCACTTTCATATGCAGTAAAGACGTCCACAAACTGTAATCTTTGAGGCAGAGAACTGAAAACTCGATTTTTTAGTTGCATCATTCAGCTTTTATCTTTTACATTATTCTGCCGCGTGCGTAGACTTCTCCCGATACTTTTATGCCGTTGCTGCGAAGATTTTAGTCATAGTTATCCAAGCGGCAGAGATCTACGTTCTCAAACCGGCCTTCTCTTTGCTGGACAACGCGCTTTGAATAAAACAGATGTGATCTTTTTACTTCATATAAAAACAAAAAGTGGCGCATTATACTGCACTTGCATGTCCGATCAGTTAGCAACAAGCGCGTGTGGTTTTTACTTAAAGAGAGCAATTAATTTATCAGTAAGTGAGGGGGCATTGAGTCGTATTTTAAACCTCGCGGGCCAGTAAAAGGGAGGTGCGATTTTTTTTTTAATCTTTAGTTTACTCACTCGAGTCGTTGCTAACTGGAGATCTGCTTTTTATAGATGGATTAGTTTCGTCTGACTCTGCCCAGAACGTTAAGCAATTACAGCCGCATCTTTAGGCTGTTAGAGAAGCGTATAATTTTTACTTGAAGCCGGAGCAGTAAATTTTACTGATAAGTAAGTGTCTTGTTTAACTTTGCGGCACAGTAAAAGGAACGTGCCACTTTTTCAGTCTTTTGTTTTCTTATTCTTTTCAGTGTATTCATCGCCGACGGTGAATTTGCTTTTATAGATCGATTTGTTTCGTTCAACCCTGTCCAACAAGTTTCACAAGTATACTGCGCGTTCATATTAGAGATGTTCAGCACCAATCACGTAGTAATTTTCACTCTAATTCAGGTCGCCACTCTTGATACGATTTACCGCCGCGGTACCAAAACTATGGAACGATCTAACGGTGGTTTTCCGCCATGCCGTTAATGTTGCCGCTTTTAAACGCTTCCTGAAAACCCATCTATTTATTTACTTTATTCCCATTTTATTGCTTAGGGGAATCTTGTACCCAATTCTTCGTTTCCTTAATTTTACCGTAAACTATTGTATACAAATTTATGAACATGTAATATTCAGCTTTTTATTCATATTTTTTTATATATACTTTAATATACACCACTGTCTTGTATTGTAATTATTCTAATGTAATGCGAGTGTGAGCATATTTCCGTGTAACTCGCACTGTAATTCATTAAATTATTATTATTATGATTATTATGATGATGATGATGATGATGATGATGATGATGATGATGAGGAGGAGGAGGAGGAGGAGGAGGAGGATGATGATGATGATGATGATGATGAGGAGGAGGAGGAGGAGGAGGATGATGATGATGATGATGAGGATGATGATGATTATTATTATTATTATTATTATTATTATGAAGGTCATAGCTAATTGCAAATCAAACAGAAAAAAGTCAAATGGGTGCTTACATCTTGCAGTCTTGCTGGTCTTTGTTCGACAGCACGTACTCTGTTTACAGATGCATTGTCTTGATAACTGGTCAAAAACAACTTTTTTTGATAACTCTCTTAAAGGCTTTTCGAAACCTAGCGGTACGTAACGAGTAAGCAATCGGGTTTAGCAGTGGGTGCAGAAATACCCCAAAACTCTCATTGCGGCAATATAAATTCAATTTGCAAAGAGAAGTACTACTCAATGCATGTATGTTTACAACGACGATTAAAGGAGTCCAACAAACCATAAATAACAAAACCAATATGAATGCCGTAAACGCAACATTTCTCTCCTTCGTTTTAATTTTTAGTATTAGAGGAGACTTTTCAGTCAAAGATTGTCCTTCTAATAACCCCTCCTCTGAAGTCGCCACACTCCGGTACAACTGTCTTTTTACCACAATATAAATCCCCGTGTAGCAAATAAAAACTACGAGTATTATCGGGATGCCAATAAAGTCATAAAGCAAAGTTAGATATACTTTTAAAAACAGAAAGTCCCTTTGTTTGATGCTAATAGGCAGGGGCAAGATTAGAGCGAATGACCATATTGCGATAAAGCAAAGGTATCTGTTACAAGTGGCTAGTTTGACTCTTGTGAAGGGAAAAGCGATAACAAGCAGCCGTTCGACAGCAAGGCCAAGGATCGTTAAAATTGAAGCAAGAAACGCTACTTGGTTGATAGTATTTCCGGCTCTCAGCATGTGATTGTCAGGAAACCAGTGACGAAGTCCGAACAGAAGTTCGCCTGGAAAGCCGATGAGTAAATCACATACGGCAAGGTTTAAAATGAAGAAGTTGGCGGCTGTTCCCCTGAGTTCCTTGTATGGATCTTTCCAGATTAGCAGTATAACTGCTGCGTTTAAAATAACTGTCAATGGACAAAGCGAGAAGGCGATTACCGCCTGTGGAAAAAACACTTCCTCCACTTCCTCTAGAAAGAAAAGAAGACGATAAAGATAACATATATGAATTTACATCAATTCATGAGAAAAAATGGGAATATTCCAGTATACAGCCCGTGCTGATTCAGGTCGCCTGTGATAGCATTTTAAAGTTTTTGAATTGCTGAGTATACTGTCCAGCCCTTGAGATTACTGTTTATAAATGTTCATAAAACCGTGCTTAAATCTACGAACCCACGCGTGAAGAGGCTAGGGCAAAATCGAAAAACAAATCGAAACTGACCTAGTGTGCAATTCAAGTGTCCAATAGTCGGCTCTACACAGTTGTGGTTACCACTCATTGCCGTAATCCTCTCGATTTCTTTGGACAATTCCACGGTTTGTTGAATCGAACAAGGCTTCTCATTCACTTATGACACGCATTCCAGTGAATGCCTATAAACACCATATCTATGTTACTTCCGCTGTTTCCCTGAATAGTCCTTCAGCATGTCACGAGATTTTTAAGCACGAAATTATTGCATCATTTGCTTCATGCTCTGCATTTCTTTCGGGATTAAAAGGGTGGGCACAAAGAATACTAACAAATGACATAAGTAATACATGAATGAATTAGTTAAGAGATGCTCAAAATTTATGAAAATACAGCTTGATGGTTTTTTCCAAAAATGGTCAAAAGCTGTTGATACTAGGACCAATATGCGTGGGAAGGCTGACTGGCTTGGAGCATTAAGCTAGGGAATCTCCCTTTTAATGCGTCATCCGCGCCTGACCTAGTGACCCAAATGATTCCGCACCCAGGTCTAAGAGATCGGTTTTTAACCACCATTACTATCTTTAGTCGCCTCCTGAAGGGCATTATTATTGTTGCTATTATTATTATTATTATTATTATTATTTGTTTTTTGTCTTTAATAATATTATCATGATTATTGTTCGTTCTCACTCTTCGCGTTCTACTAACGCATCCAAGTTGTCCTGTTTTCTCACTTCCCTTATAGCACTTTCTCCAAGATGTGTGTTTTTCCTAGAGGTGACCAAGTCTTATGGACCTAGAGCAGATTGGGATTTAACTAAATTTCTCTAGCAGTCTTTTCTTTACCATTCCAAGGAAGAATATATAAACACTGGGACCACAATGATCTTTTAATCTTTGTACTTTTAATTATGGCTTCTCTATTATATTAAAAGGACAGTCGTTTTACCGTAGCGGGAAGATCAACTGATCAGTCTGAATTATGTCCTTCTCCACCTCTTCCATATCAAACCATAAAAAACTTCAACAAACAAATTAAGAAAACTCAAAAGACAAGTAGGGGACGTTTAAAATAACATCTTTCCGCTCTCGGGTATCACTAAGGAATGGGAATAAAGAAACGGCAAAGGGTGAAAACAAGAAAGCATTAAAATTATAGTGGCTATTGCCCATATTCAGGAACTACGTCAGATTATTATGGGCTATAACGGATCTCCGTACCCCTCGTCTT